TTGAGTTACCGAGTTACCATTTCTGGGTACCACCAAAAGCTCTTGACGCCGTGCACTGAAGGAGGAGGTGAAGGAGAAGAAGAATTCAGACCATCACTCCTTCAGGTTCAAAGAGACAAGCTTTACTAAACTACTTGAAGATCTGAGACTGTATTTAACTGGCTCACTTCAGATGATGATGATGATGATGATGATGATGATGATGATGATGTAGGGAGTGGTAGTGATTACAATGGTGGTAATTATGTAAGAAATGGAAGTAATGATAGGAATAATGAAGATAAAAATGAAAATAATGGTGATATAAAGATTAATAATAATAATAATAATAATAATAATAATAATAATAATAATAATAATAACACTGAAATTCATACTAAAACAAATAAAAGATTATAGAAGTTAATTATAGTGACGTTAACAACACAAACAGCTGATCTACAGTTCACAACACAGTCTTGATAATGACAGGCAGAAGATGACGTCACTCCAAATGATGATGACGAAGGTGAAGATGATAATGATGGCAGCAGAGGAGCCTGATAATGAAGATGGCTGTTGGGTTTAATAGGTGATTAAGAAAAGTGATGATGGCTGTTAAGACTGGTGGTGGTAGTGATGGTGGTGAGAATGGGGTGGTGATGGTGATAGCGGGGGGGAGGGGGTATTGAGGGCGATGATAATGAGGGGGTGGTGTGGGAGGTGACAGTAATAATGGTGGTGATAATGGTGGTGATGGTGACAGGTAAAAATCCCCATTAATTGTTATTCTTAATCGTAACTTTCAAAAACAGCCCCTCCCTCCCTCCCTCTCCAAAATCCCTCCCTCCCTCCTCTCCTGCTCCTATCCTCAATCCCAGCCTCTTCCTCCCTCCAACATCTCATCCTCTTCCTCCACTTCCAGCCCCCTCCCACACACACACATTGAGCTCTCCCTCCCTGATGCTAAGCCAGAGAGGGAGGTGAGAGGGAGGGAGGGAGGAGGGAGGGATGGAGAGGAGGGAGGATGGAGAGAGAGGGAGGGGAGGGAGGAGGGAGAGGAGAGGGAGGGGGAGGGAGGGAGGGGAGGAGGAGGGGGAGGGAGGGGGGAGGGAGGGAGGGAGGGGGAGGGAGGGAGGGAGGGAGGGAGGGAGGAGGGAGGAGGGAGGAGGGAGGAGGGAGGGTGAGGAGGGGAGGGAGGGATGGAGGGATGGAGAGGGATGGAGGGAGGGTGGAGGGAGGGAGGGAGGGAGGGAGGGAGGGAGGGAGGAGGGGGGGTATGAGTTATCTCCCCACAAGCACAGGTGTTTACTCACCCCCGGAGGCTTTTACCTGGCGCCGTTATCTAGACAGACAGACACAGGTGTTTACTCAGGTGTGGAGTTCTCTGGTCCTGGTGTGTTCTCTGGTCCAGGTGTGTTCTCTGGTCCTGGTGTGTTCTCTGGTCCTGGTGTGTTCTCTGGTCCTGGTGTTCTCTTTCTGGTCCAGGTGTGTTCTCTGGTCCTGGTGTGTTCTCTGGTCCTGGTGTGTTCTCTGGTCCAGATGTGTTCTCTGGTCCTGGTGTGTTCCTCTGGTCCTGGTGTGTTCTCTGGTCCTGGTGTGTCTCTCCTGGTGTGTTCCTGGTCCAGGTGCGTTCCTTGGTGTGTTCTCTGGTCCTGGTGTGTTCTCTGGTCCAGGTGTGTTCTCTGGTCCCAGGTGTGTTCTCTGGTCCCGGTGTGTCTCCCTGGTCTGGTGTGTTCTCTGGTCCAGGTGTGTTCTCCTGGTCCAGGTGTGTTCTCTGGTCCTGGTGTGTTCTCTCGGTCTGTGTTCTCTGGTCCAGGTGTGTTCTCTGTGTGTTCTCTGGTCCTCTTGTCCTGGTGTGTTCTCTCTGGTCCTGGTGTGTTCTCTGGTCCTGGTGTGTTCTCTGGTCCAGGTGTGTGTGTTCTCTGGTCCAGGTGTGTTCTCTAGTCCTGGTGTGTTCTCTGGTCCAGGTGTGTTCTCTGGTCCAGGTGTGTTCTCTGGTCCAGGTGTGTTCTCTGGTCCAGGTGTGTTCTCTGGTCCTGGTCCTGGTGTGTTCTTCTGGTCCTGGTGTTCTCTGTCCAGGTGTGTTCTCTGGTCCTGTGTGTTCTCTCTGGTCCAGGTGTGTTCTCTGGTCCTGGTGTGTTCTCTCTAGTCCAGGTGTGTTCTGGTCTGGTGTGTGTTCTCTGGTCCAGGTGTGTTCTCTCTGTCCAGGTGTGTTCTCTGGTCCTGGTGTGTTCTCTGGTCCAGGTGTGTCTGTGTGGTCCAGGTGTTCTCTGGTCCTGGTGTGTTCTCTCTGGTCCTGGTGTGTTCTCTGGTCCAGGTGTGTTCTCTGGTCCTGGTGTGTTCTCTGGTCTGGTGTGTTCTCTGGTCCTAGGTGTGTTCTCTGGTCCAGGTGTGTTCTCTGGTCCTGTGTTCTCTGTCCAGTGTGTTCTCTCTGGTCCAGGTGTGTTCTGGGTCCAGGTGTGTTCTGGTCCTGGTGTGTTCCTTCTGGTCCCAGTGTTCTCTGTCCTGGTGTGTTCTCGGTCCAGTGTGTTCTCTGGTCCAGGTGTGTCCTCTAGGTGTGTTCTCTGGTGTGTGCCTGGTCCAGTGTGTTCTCTGGTCCCTCTGGTGTGTTCTCTGGTCCCGTGTGTCTCTCTCTGGTCCTGGTGGTGTGTTCTCTGGTCCAGGTGTGTTCTCTGGTCCAGGTGTGTTCTCTCTAGTCCTGGTGTGTTCTCTGGTCCAGGTGTGTGTTCTCTGGTCCAGGTGTGTTCTCTCTTGTCCCAGGTGTGTTCTCTGGTCCAGGTGTGTTCTCTGGTCCTGGTGTGTTCTCTGGTCCTGGTGTGTTCTCTGGTCCAGGTGTGTTCTGGTCTGTGTTCTCTAGTCCGGTGTGTTCTCTGGTCCAGGTGTGTTCTGTTCCTGGTGTCCAGGTGTGTTCTTCACTCTGGTCTGGTCCAGGTGGTCTCTGTGTTCTCTCTGGTCCTGGTGTGTTCTCTGGTCCAGGTGTGTTCTCTGGTCCTGGTGTGTTCTCTGGTCCAGAGTGTGTTCTCTGGTCCTGGTCTCTGTGTGTTCTCTGGTCCAGGTGTGTTCTCTGTCCTGGTGTGTTCTCTGGTCCCTTCTGGTCCAGGTGTGTTCTCTGGTGGTGTGTTCTCTGGTCTGTGTTCTCTGGTCCTGTGTGTGTTCTCTGGTCCTCTGGTCCAGGTGTGTTCTCTGGTCCTCCCTCTGGTGTGGTCTCTCTGGTCCAGGTGTGTTCTCTGGTCCAGGTGTGTTCTCTGCTGTGTGTTCAGGTGTGTTCTCTGGTCCTGTGTGTTCTCTGGTCCAGGTGTGTTCTCTGGTCCTGGTGTGTTCTCTGGTCCAGGTGTGTGTTCTCTGGTCCAGGTGTGTTCTCTGGTCCTGGTGTGTCTCTCTGGTCCAGGTGTGTTCTCTGTCCAGGTGTGTACCTTCTGGTCCAGGTGTGTTCTCTGGTGCAGGTGTGTTCTCTGGTCCAGGTGTGTTCTCTGGTGCAGGTGTGTTCTCTGGTCCTGGTGTGTTCTCTGGTCCTGGTGTGTTCTCTGGTCCAGGTGTGTTCTCTGGTCCAGGTGTGTTCTCTGTGCAGGTGTGTTCTCTGGTCTGGTGTGTCTCTCTGGTCCAGGTGTGTTCTCTGTCCTGGTGTGTTCTCTGGTCCTGGTGTGTTCTCTCTGGTCCCAGGTGTGTGTTCTCTGGTCCTGGTGTGTCTCTCTGGTCCTGGTGTGTTCTCTGGTCCAGGTGTGTTCTCTGGTCCTGGTGTGTTCTCTGTCCAGGTGTGTTCTCTGGTCCTGGTGTGTTCCCCTGGTCCAGGTGTGTTCTCTGGTCCTGGTGTGTTCTCTGGTCCAGGTGTGTTCTCTGGTCCAGGTGTGTTCTCTGGTCCAGGTGTCTCTCTGGTCCAGGCAGGTGTGTTCTCTGGTCCAGGTGTGTTCTCTGGTCCTGGTGTGTTCTCTGGTCCTGGTGTGTTCTCTGGTCCTGGTGTGTTCTCTGGTCCAGGTGTGTTCTCTGGTCCAGGTGTGTTCTCTGGTCCTGGTGTGTTCTCTGGTCCTGGTGTGTTCTCTGGTCCTGGTGTGTTCTCTGGTCCTGGTGTGTTCTCTGGTCCTGGTGTGTGGGAGGAACTAAGAGGTATGGAGGACAGAGCCAGGTGGAGGTGTGTGGGAATTATACAAGAGTTTACCTTTGAAGCCTTAAGAAGACGAAGGGGGCAGGAGAGCTTCACTATCGGGGCTTCTTTCTGTCTCCCTTCACCTAATTTATTCTTCTTTCTTCCTTAATTCCTATCTTTATTCCCTTATCTTCTTTAATTCATCTCTTTCGCCTCTCTATTTCTTCTCTTTGTTCTTCTTTGTCTCTCTTAATCTATTTTCTCTCCTTCTTCTTCTTCGCCTTCTTTCATCTTCTTCCTTTTTTATTTTTCTCTCCTCTCCCCCCTTCTATCCTTCTTCATTCCCTCCTTTCCTCCCTCTCTTCTCCTCCCCCCTCCTTCCTCCACTCCTCTTCCATTTCTTTTTCCTCCCCTCCTCTTCCTTTCCCCCTTCTTCCTTCCCTCCTTTCCTCCCTCTCTTCTTCCTACCCTCCTCCTCTTCCATTTCTTATTCCTCATCTCTTTTTCCCTTTCCCCCTCCTCTTCTCTCTTCTTCTTCCCTTTCTCTTCTCCCTCTTCTCTTTTGGGTCTCTGTCAGTATAAACGTAAATCTCGCCTTTGTTCTCCTTATCTCTTAGTGTTGCTTATTCTTCCGGATTATATCATGTCTCTGTTCGCTTTGTTACGTAATAGGGAAATTAGTTCGTCCTCTCTCTCTCTCTCTCTCTCTCTCTCTCTCTCTCTCTCTCTCTCTACACCTAACAAGTCTCTAACATACACATATACATAAATACAGTATAAAACATGAATAAGTAATAACCACAACAACAACTGATGTTACATATTTACACGTGTGTTTCTAATGTGATTAATGTTAGAAACGTACTCCTACCACAACAATAGCTGATGTTAGATATTTACGCGTGTGTTTCTAATGTGATTAATGTTAGAAACGTACCCCGACCACAACAACAACAGCAGATGATGGTCTTCGGATCCTCACTGTCTTACACACACGCGCGCGCGCTACCCTGGGGAAGATAATGCTATATTAGACGAATAAATATGTAAATAAGAGATACATAATGTGGATACATATAATAAAGACGAGGAGAGAGAGAGAGAGAGAGAGAGAGAGAGAGAGAGAGAGAGAGAGAGAGAGAGAGAGAGAGAGGCTTAGGTGAATGTTGTAACAGAGTGAAATAAATGTTACAAATAATAGAGAGGATTTAAACTGAGATTATATTCGAAGAATTAGTATAAAAATAATACAACAAATTGATAATAATAATAATAATGATGATGATGATGATGATGATGATGATGATGAAGCCATGTTGGGAATCGTTGACCAACTTGTGCTTCTCCAGGTGATTTCGAATTGCGTTTGAAATTATTGCTTCCAGTAATTTGCCTACAATTGATGTTAAGCTGATTGGACGGTAGTTAGAGGATAGTGATCTATCTCCCTTCTTGAAAATCGGTATTACATTCGCTATCCTCCAGGATTCTGGTACTCCACCAGTTTTTAAGGACATGTTAAACAACTTTGCTAAGGGCATAATAAGCTCTTCCTTACATTCCTTTAATACTCTGACAAACATCTCATCGGGACCTGGCGACTTATTAGACTTCACCTAGAGGCAGATATAATCCAAGTACAATGAGTTAAACAGGAGAAAAATAACGTTGTAAAGCTTTGCATTTCGAGTCTTTCTAAACACGCCAGACGAACATCATCGCCCATCTTCTGCCTGCTGTGGCGTTCGTTAAGGCAGCGAAACATTCAAACATACACACAGACACTAAAACAAACTCAGTGTAATGACCTGAAGTGAAAATTTTAACCCACAACCACCAATCACGACTGACACAAGTAACAAGGTTATATGATTATTAATGAGAGGAAATGTTAAGGGGAAACCCGACCTTAATTGAGGTGGTCTGAAGGATGAGTATTTGATTTGTGGGGATTGTGGTGTGGTGATTATACTACTATCTTCACTACATCTATCACCATCACACACACACACACACACACATGAAACGAAGGATGAAGCGTGGGGTGGTAGCATGGGGTGGTGGTGTGGGGTGGTGGCGTGGGGGTGAAGGCGTGGGTTCGACGGGCGTGGCGGACGTCTGGCAAGGAAGCAATTAAAACACACAAGGCGTCGTTCAAGTCATTAGAGCCGCCATTAAGAGTGTCAGGTGAAGTCAAGTGGCGAGACGTGATTAGTACCTGTTGATAAGGGCGTGTTCCTATGATGATGATGATGATGATGATGAGGGAGAGAGAGAGAGAGAGAGAGAGAGAGAGAGAGAGAGAGAGAGAGAGAGAGAGAGAGAGAGAGAGACCCACCGCCCTTCAGTATAGTCATCACCAACAGTTACTCCCTCATCCCCAGGTATTCTTCAGGTAATATGGTATAGGTGTAGATAAGTAGTAGTGTCACGCCCATACACAGGTCACCTCACACCCACCGTGGGCGTGAATACTGTAAGTTGGACGGGGAAACAGGTGGGCGGCGATAGTTACCAGGGCGTATAGAAGTATTCAAGTGGGTGAAAGGAATCAATAAAGGGGATATAGATAAAGTTCTTATAATATTCGAGCAGGATAGGACTCGGAGCAACGGATTGAAGTTAGATAAGTTTAGGTTTAGGAGGGAGATAGGAAGGAACTGGTTCACAAATAGGGTGGTGGACGAGTGGAACAAGCTTAGCAACCTTGTAGTAAGTGCTGGAACTCTGGAAAGTTTCAAAAGGAGGCTGGATAGATTCATGGATGACAGAGAGTGGTAGTAACTCTCGACAGGAGCTGCCATGCACAGGCCAACCGGCTTATTGCAGACTCCTTATTTTCTTATGTTCTTATGTATCACAGTCACACGTTCAACCGTAAAGTAATTGGGGCTCAAATTAAGACAGGTAAGTGGATTATCAGAGACAGGTAGAGGTGTCAGAATTCATTAAGCCAGTTTATTTAACTTACGACATGAAAAATGGATTCTCAACGAACCGCTACGTTAAATTGGAACAGATTAACATAACGCTGACCTAACATGATATAACCGAACCAGACCTAACCTAACATGATATAACCTAACCTAATTAACACCCCCCCAGGTAACTTAAGGTGTTTTTATCATCAGGTGAAATAAATTTGGGTTTCTAATCTTCAGGTGATCCGTTAAATTTCCCCAGTGACTACATATGTGAAAACACTCTCTAATTTACTCACACTTAAGTTACGACACAAAAGACGGATTCTCGTTCACTTACGTTACGACACAGCCAAAATATCTCCTTAACTACTCTGACACTCTACCTTAACTACCTACTATCTAATGACCCAATTATCTTTCATCCTCTAGAGTCTCGGTGTGATTTGGATGCCATATTGACCCGCCATGTTTGTATAGTAGCTTAGGTGGGTCAATAAGTTGTTTAGTTTAGGTGGGGGGAGGGGAGGAGGTGGAGGGGGGCATGGGTGAGTGGTGGGGGAAGGAGGTACGGGTGTGAGGGAGGAGTGGGGTGGTGAAAGGATGAGTGCCAAGGGTAGGGGTGTGGTGGGAAGACGTGGGGGGGGTGGGTGGAAGACGTAGGCGGGGGGTGGGTGGGAAGAGGAGGCATGGGTAGAGGTGTGGGCGGAGGACAGGGTAGTGGGGGTGGGTGGGACGTGGACGGGGGTGTGGGAGACGTGGACGGGGGTGTGGGTGGGAAGACGTGGACGGGGGTGTGGGTGGGGAGACGTGGGCGGGGGTGTGGGTGGGAAGACGTGGGTGAGTGTCGTGCGCGGTAATCCCATAATAACAGTACTGGTGACGTCATTTCCTGTCTTGTTTAAGGTGTCGACGTGCGTGTAGGTCATAAAACACACACACACACACACACAGGCCTTGGGATTCAAATCAATGCATTCAGAGACGCCCAGCATCTAGCGCACAGCACCTAGCACCCAGCACTGTAAAGTTAAGCCAGGTTGAGTCACAGTCCTTGATCCAGATTCACCAACTCTCCTACGTTAACTTTCCCCCCGCGAGCTCTGACGAAGATGCCTGAACAACACCTGACTTGACCTGACCTAACCTAACCTAGAGCAAACCGATCCACCAATCACGTCCCTCGTTACACAACCAATACCAATTCATTCATAAATACTACTGTGACAGAGCCGTTTGCAGACACAGGGTAACACATTTCCGTAACTGTACCGTCACACCTGTATCATCACACCTGTACAGTCACACCTGAACCATCACACCTGTACTATCACACCTGTACCGTCACACCTGTATCATCACACCTGTACCGTCACACCTGTACTATCACACCTGTACCGTCACACCTGTACTATCACACACCTGTACCGTCACACCTGTACTATCACACCTGTACCGTTACACCTGGACTATCACACCTGTACCGTCACACCTGTAATATCACACCTGTATCATCACACTTGTAACGTCACACCTGTACCGTCACACCTGTACCATCACACCTGTACCGTCTCACCTGTACCAGCACACCTGTACCATCACACCTTCAGGATTTATTGAACAGTCTCCAAAACTGGGCCACCAACAACCATGTCACCATCAACCATACCAAGACCATGGTTATGCACATCAATCTCTCCTCCGACATTGTCCCACCTCCTTCCATTACTTTAGGTCCGAACACACTCCAGGTTGTAGATTCCACGAAGCTCCTCGGCGTCACCATAGACAACAAACTAAATTGGAAACCACATGTCAGTGAAGTTGTCAAATCCTCCAGTTTCAGTCTCCACCTCCTCCGCCGACTCAAGTCCCTCGGAGTTCCTGCACCCGAGCTCCTCAGTGTTTACACAACATTCATACTTCCCAAGCTCACCTATGCCTTCCCTACCTGGTCTTCCTCCTTAAATGCCACACAACGTAAACACCTCGAAAAGGTGCAAAAGAGGGCATGCAAGATTATTCTCTCCCCTTCGTACTCCACATATCAAGAAGCGCTCAACACACTGACCCTTTCGACTCTCACTGACCATCACCACGACCTCATCTGCAAATTTGTTAAGAAGCTTCTACACCATCCTCGACACCGGCTCCTACTACCACCTGAGATCCCTAGCCCGAGAATTGCTGTTCGACACCACAACCGCATCCAGCCCATACGTGCACGAACTGGTCGCTATAAGAACAGCCCAGTCCCAACCATTGTAAAAATTATCAATAACTTGTAATAAACCAGTGTATTCACTCCCAGTAAATACTACTTCTTGCACTGTCACTATGTTGAAATGCACTGTCGTTTGAGCTTTTCCCCATCTAGTTATTATATATCTTATTTGTATCACTTATGTTACTTGTATATTTGTAATTCGAAACCCATTCTCCAAATATGTAACTGTATATTTTCAACCTTCTGGCTGCCAAGCTCTTTCAATAAACCGTTAATTATTATTATTATTTTATTATTATCACCTGTACCAGCACACCTGAACCGTTACACCTGTACCGCCGCACTTGTACCGTAAAAAACAACTATTTCAACAAACCCTCTGGTCAGACTGTTCCCTCACACCTCGTTCATGTGGCCTGATGTTACAGTAAGTCCGCTATATAGCGGTATTACAGTAATTCCGCTATATAGAGATATTACAGTAAATCCGCTATATAGAGGTATTACAGTAAATCCGCTATATAGAGGTATTACAAAAAGTCCGCTATATAGAGGTATTACAAAAAGTTCGCTATGTAGAGGTAATACAGTCAGTCCGCTACATAGCTATTACAGTAAGTCCGCTACATAATTATTACAGTAATTCCGCTATTTAGAGGTATTACAAGAAGTCCAGCATGGCTTCACAAGCGGGCGTTCTTGTCTAATCTATTAACATTCTTTTCATCAGTTTTCGAATCGGTGGACGAGGGGCACAATTATGATGTGGTATATCTCGACTTTAGCAAAGCCTTCGACAGAGTCCCCCACGAAAGTAGAGGGTCATGGCATTAAAGGTGATATTCTAAAATGGATTAGGGCG